GTTCAATAATTATCAATAAATGAAACAAGACTACTTATCCCAACAAGCAACAGAAGACTGAGAAAGTAAGACAGTAAGCAGTAAGACTCAAAATGATTGTCTATGAATAACCTTTAGATGGCGCACTTTAAGCAGCCGTAGATAGGCTGATGAGAAAGTCACCATCTCTGGCAGCAATCAAAATGCATATTCGAAAAATAAGGTGTTTCTATTGATGACTTTCTCTTGTTAAAGATATGAAATTAAATCGAAACAAGAAATGTTATACGGAAATGAATAAGTGAACCTTTATATATATACATTAAAGTTTTATTAAAACAAATATACAGGGTATGCTTTATGATCTAATAAAATATATTCGATGTATTAACAATTTAAGTCTTGCAAACAAATTAATGTAGTTTGAATGGTTGTAAATATATGTATTTAATAAACAATTAATTTCACAATTTATTTTATATACAAAATTGTCATTCATAATGATTGCATTAAAGAACAAGTCCTTGGTATGAAAGCCCATCTGCTTCTGGCGATTCCATCCTGTTTTTTAAATGTTCTAATGTATTAGCTAAATGTTTTTGTATTTGTTCCGTTTCTTCACTGACTTCTAAGTTAGGAAGTTCTTCTCTAATTTTTGCTATTACTTGATTTAAAATTTGAACCGTTACCTAAAATGAATTATTACTTATTAGTTCGAATTTGATGATAAAATGTTTAGAAGTACAAATAATTCTTACTGCTGTGTTTCCTTTTTCGTAGAAATAAATGTAGTGATTTAATAGTTCAACATAAAGTTGGACTTGAACTGATGTATCCATACATTGACTTGCTATCTTAATACCCTTTTTCAAACAATCTAATACTTTATTTCCATCTTGCATCTAAAATAATTATATAGTTTAATTATACTTTGATTGATTATTATTTAGGAAAAATTGTTACTCACTTCTTTCCCTCCTGTTGCTAATGATTTTCCAGACCAGAATATATGAGAACAGGTTGCAACACCTCTGCACTGATCTGGTTTTCTTAATAATTTGCTAGCATATAAAGCACATTGACTACGCACTGGATCTGCATTTTCTTCACTGAAACAACTCATTTGCTCAAATGTAGCAATGATTAATGTAATAGCCGCCAGTTGAGCTTTGGAATCGCTTATTTCATCTTCGTATATAGAAAATGCTTGACTCATAAATTCGTATGCAACCACTTCAAAATTATCGAAACGAATTTCACCTATCGCTATTGCACCTTGCAGAAATAACCTTAACGGTAACTCGGCCAATTCAGCCTTCATTAATGCACTAATGGTTGCATGACAAAATTGAGAAATTTTTTGGCATTTTTTTTGCCACCATTCATCCTGTAAGGAGTAATTGTTAAGCTGTGTTTAAAAAGTGTTTATTAAAGTTTACTAATTAACTAACTTCATCCTTTAGTCCCTTGTATGTAAAAGCTAGTTGATAAGCTTGGAATACAATCGGTGGCAGAGTATATTTTATTCTTTTATTTCCACCAGCACTGAAATGTTTCCTAGCAGCACTTAATATCATGTACTGTTGATCAGCTGTGTCAGACTTGAAATGATGTATCAGTCTACCAAGGAGGCCCTGTTCTTCTGCAAAATCTTCAGGATCTTCTTCAATGCTAGGCTGATCTGGCTGATCTTGCACCAATGGAGACACCATAGAAAGTACTGCATCTACTTGTTCTTGAGTTGGTATTAAGGTTTCATTTTCCAAAATGTTCGTTATTATATAAATAGCTAACAATTTTCTACCCTCGTAATCAAAATAATCTAATAATGGAGCAAAATGTTCCAGTTTTAAAACAGTTAATATATTTTTATAGTTATCTATTGGAATTTTCATTAACCTTACTAACTCCCTTGATACAGCACTATTATAATCAAGTCTGAAAATATTTTATAGTCATTGAATTTCTATATATGTTTGACTTAGTATTACTATACTGTTGTACATACTTTTCTACATTTTGTTTCTGGAATATTTGAACAGTTGTTAACAAGACTTTATCCACATAGTCTACTCTGTCAGGATAGCACTTGTGTGCCAAGTTGATGAGAGCTACTTGAAGAGATACTACATCCTCTGAAGGCATCTCTTGTCTAGTCTAGATAGAAATAGATCAGTTTTATGAGTGGGAAATAATGAAAGAAAAGTTAATGACTATTGTGGGAAACTATTCTCAGACTTAAACTAGACGAGTAAGGATAACTTGAATATTCATAACTATGATCATATTTGAATCAACTTTGTGTAGTATCTGGTCATCATTGAATTTATAAATGATGTGTTAATTATTTAATTAATCATTGATTTTTTTCTCATTCTATAATCATACCAACCTGTATAATAGTGGCAATTTGATCGCTAAAAACGTCAAAGAGCTTTACATCTTGTGGTATTCCTGGCACTTGATTGGGACTTCCTGGTCCTCCTACACCATCTGATCTTTGACTAAATGCTGCAAGACGGTCTATTAATGAAATGATTATATTTTTTACATTTACACCACTTTGCAGCTCTGCACATGACTTTAAAAATGTATTTAGTGTTTGTAAGTGAAACTCATCAGGAAAGACCTAAATAAAAGTACAGATAAATTTGTAACACTATTGCTTTATCATAATTTTAAATATTTAAAAAATTGTTTACTTGAATTATACACTCCATAAGATATTCCTGGGCAATTGCATCTCTACAACTGACTACTTGTTCCAATATTCCTGGCAAAACAAGCTAAAAATCGTCTTATTATTAATTAATAATTAAAAAAAGTTGTTAACAAGTAAAATGTATTTGTGCTCCACCTTTTTATATTTATCTAAAGTTACAGACTCCAATTGACTAAGCCGTACAAGATTAGTTCCCACTAAAATTCTAAGTTCTTCTCTTTCTCGCTCCCTTCTTTCTCTATCCCTACTATGACCTTGATGTTGCATGCGTACCCACAATTTATTCATTTCTGCGAAATTCATCAACACAAAATCTATACTGTCACGAACCTAAAGAAAAATACAATATACAAACTAATGTGTTTTATATTTTTTTCTTTGTAATACGTACACTTCCATCTTCATCATCACCTTCAGCACCATCTGGCAATATGTTACGAGTACATTGCAATAAATAATTCCTTAAGAAAAGACCTCTTAAGGGATGTTGAACACCCCTACACATTTCTACCAAATCTCTCAACAAATCTCTTTTTAAACCAGGTGTTGTTTTGATATATACCAATCCAACTGTGATAAGCAGATATCTATAAATCAGAATATATTATCAGCAAAATGTGACCAATAATGTGTGTATGACAAAATTATGTATTATATTAATATCATTATAACATTGTTTCATCAGACTTACAGTCTAGGTACAATGTTGCCAACATATTGTACTAATTCATATAAATCTGTGACTTTTCTTCCTTTTTGAAATTCATCTAACAGGTAGAGTTCCAAGTGCCTTAATTCATCAGTAATAGCCATATCTAGAGTTAAATGTAAGGCAAATTAGTATATTCTTATAAAGGTTCCTACATATTTTCTACAATATGATAGAAGTAGTTAAGTTTAAAAAGCATACATAATTCATAGTAACTCTTTGGACTCAGAAGAGAAGTTCTGAGTTCACCTAACATTGTAGAAGCATGTTTTAATGCATCCATTAGTTTGGACTTATCTAGACAGTGTTTCATTTGGAAGGCCTGCACTTTAACCACACCGATTGCATCTTCAAGTAGTTTTTCCTGCTCCTCTACTCCAGTTATGGCAGGTGTCATTGGCTGCGAGAAAAACAAAGATACCTACCAGGAACACCAGGTAGTACCATGCTAGGTAAGCCAATCAATGCAGGCATGCATTATTTTTTGCTCATACAATGGAAAATATAGGACAAAACCGTTCCATTAAATTATAGTAACAAATTTAAGCACCAGTTCAGAATAGGAGTTTTATATATTATATAGGAAGCAAATAACATAAGGGCATTATGCGCATAAAATGAATGCGTGCTGAAAGCAAAATATGATTTTAGGTGCCAAATTTCATTTATATTCGGCATAATTTTGTACAGTATTAGAGAGTTATAATTTGACTAAAATATCACACAATAAAAAAAATGTGTTACAAAAGCGTTTCTTCTTTATTACTTAGAAGAGGATAAAAAGAATATCAAACGGTTTTTAAGTATTTGTCGAGTTCTTAAATATAAACATCGACATTTTTACGACAGTTAACCTCAGTAGTTTTAAGATTATTTTCCCATATGATAGTTGTATGTATTTTCATTCAAATTTGATTGACATTTAGTCAATTGATTCCGCAAGCAATAATTTAACATGCTTCTTGAAATAACAATGGTACTTACCATTTTTCTTTATGAAAAACTGAACGTTTATTTTCTATACTGGAAATAGTACCGACCACTAAACCGACAGAAGTAACACCAAATGACACCGTCAGCAAGTGCATCCAGAACGACCACCGCTCATTAAGCCGCTCAGTGAGCGGGTGTAGTGGTGCCATCGGTGAGAAAACGCCCAAGTTTGTAGTGAAAAGAGTTTCTGCTGTGGATGCTAGATAACCCCCCTAACCAAAGTGTCGATAATTATGGCTGCATTAATAATAATAATGTTTAAATAAGATATTGAAATAATATGTAATGTTATGGAGCAAACAATCGTATTAATTGCTTATTTATGAAAAATAAAGAATAATTTAATAAAATATATTTGGGGCGCCATCGCAAAGAAACAGTGGGAACTATTTTCACTACAAACTTGGGGATTTCCCCACCGATGGCGCCACTAAAAAAACAATTCGCCATCTAGCGGCGACAGCAAAAACTATTTTCACTACAAACTTGGGCGTTTTCCCACCGATGGCGCCACCGTAATAAATATTTGCAATATTTATTTTCAATAAACAATAGACTTTTACATAACTCCAAGATGATGAATAAACACTTAAATCATTAGTGATTCTAAGGATTTTTATTTACAAATGCAGTATATATAATATCGTACATATATAAGATTATGTCTTACAGGAATTATCGCATACAAGATTATCCAAAGAGAGCGTACTTGTAGTGACCTGTTCCTATCGAATAAACAATTATCTTTTGTAAATTTGAACATTTACGTAAACCTATCATAAACTGAATAATATCAATTAACCTTCAGTGATTTCATATAAATATCCAATTCATCTTCAGTCTCAACTTCACTTCTGTCTTCAGAGGGACATACATTTTCAGGAGATTCTGAATCAAAATATTTGTCTTCTTCGTCTTGCGATCGTAAATCTATGTTATCATATGCTTCATTGTCATCCACAGTGCTAAAATAATTAGAACAATATGTTTAAGATGTGTAAGTTAAAATATTATTAGTAAAAGTAAATTTTACATACCTATAATCAAAGTCATCTCTTCCATCCAAAAAATTTTGATACATATTGCTCACGAATTCTTGTTTCAGTATTTGTTTCTCTGTTTTCGAAATATTACATGCAGTTTTGTTTATTTGCCTGTGGATATTCTGATGGTGTGTTTCATTCTGTAATGTAGGTAGTCTACCCCATTGAAAATTACTTTCTTTGCTACAATTTAAATCTCTTGAAATATAAATTTCATCTTGCTCCTCATCTGATTCAGTTTCTTCCAATACATCTTGTTCTTCTTCCTCTTGTAACTTCCGCTTCTGTTTTAAACTGTCTCTATCAATACTTTCCATTAACAGATTTACAAATGTGATATTTGTTGTATCTATATTGTCTCTTATTTTCTTTTGCTTTTCAGTCATATATTGTCCAATTAAATGTTCGTATAATAATGGATTTCTTTTCATCATCTCAGTTTCACTAAAGTATTCTCCCTGCTTTACTAAAGTTTTCAAAGCTTGATATCTTCTATTTTTAACATCAGTCACTCTTGTTGAATTGTTAAAATATCTTCGCAATCTATTAATATGGTAAGCAACTTCATAATCTTTGTCTTTGCTTTTCTCAAAATACTTTAAATGTTCTTCCTTCATATAACGTCCAAATTTAGATAAAAACAAACAATAACTCTTTTTTAGTATATTACGTGCTATTGTTAATTTTTCTTCAAAAGTTAAATCTGGATCTTCTTTTTGTTGGCTTTTGAAAATTGCTTTACTCCTACCTACATGATTCAATATTTCTTCTTCCAAGTTTGTGTCTTTTTCTTTATTCAGGATACTCTCTTCTGAGTTATTATTATCTTTTTCATTTAATGTCATTTCTGATGCATAATCTTGACTGTGTTCCTTTTCACTCATGTTTAACCAACCATAACCAAGAAATGTGTTTTAATCTCTACACATAAATTGGCAGCCTGAACATAATCGAATTGATACAATTGTGATTCATTTATCAGTAGCTCGTTGTGTATAATATTTATACGCGTGTCATTTTTAATTTAACGGTTTTCCTCAAGTGATTTGTAACTTGTGATGCGACACACTATTGACATGGGATGCGTCATCGACACTGGCTGTCATCGGAAACCTAACCAACAAGTTTAATTCGGTATGAGATCACTCCGAAACATGACACTTCACGAAATGTGTAATAAATACTGACATATACACATATTGTTATTGAATAAACTAGGATACATGCTTAATAGGTAAGTATTTTATTTTATAATAAACCTGCAAGGTAGTTCTAAAAATTAAATTGTTCTGTATCCATCAATTGCTTTGTAAATGAAAGTGACACTCTAAATAATAAGTATTAAATTCGATGCAATAGCAATAATTGTTTTACTCACAATATATAATATATTTAACGAGTACAATACAAACATTATATTTTATATATAATTTATATTTATACTGTTTTTGTTCTTACACTTTTTTGCAGCTATAAAATATGGGCAGTAATTGGGTAAATCATGATTTCATAGAAACGTGGAAATGGAATTGGACAGAATTATGTGGATACCATGGAGGCATTATGCCATTGAATCCAGATACGCGTGATCTTGATGTCTGCTTCCAACAACTTTGTCTCCAGGTAATTTAAAATTAATAGATTGTTGAACTTCATATGGTGGTCATGTGAAGTTCATACTTTATTTATTGGCTATTTTTTCTTATAACTTTCAGATACCAGTTTTAATCTGTATTGCAATAATATCTGCATATCATTGTGGAAAGAGAAATACATATTCCCTTCTTCGTGTTGACTCTGATCCCGCCATAAAATTTAGAATTTTAATTACTATGTGCCTTGTAATCCTTCCTATAATTAGAGCATATATTATTCTTTCTAATACTACAGTTGTTCCCTCAAAGGATATACCATCTAATAATTCCATAACTCACAAATATATCATGAAATCGTATAAAAATTCAAGTTCACTCTGGGACTCATCAGATGTAGTACATCAGATAAAAGATGGACTGAATCGTACCATTGACTTTACAAAATCAATTTTGTTTCCAAAGAGTAGTGTTCTAAATACAACAGAACCTTCTTCTATTCTTACTACACAAGGTTACAATCCAGCATTAAGTGCAGTTAAAGATAAAGCAACAGCTGCTAAACCTATCGATTACCTTGTAGCAGGTACTGAAGGATTAGCTTGGGCTGTTCATATTTGTTATATATTAAGTTTGAGAAGAGGAAGAAATTTTAATCCACGAGGCCCCGTGTCAATTCGGGCATTAATACTTTTACTAATTGTTATTTCTGCATTATTACTACGAAGTCATATCAGACATAATCCGGAAAATGATGTTTTGCCTAATTTGTCCTTGGGATTCAGTATCAGTGTAGTTACTCTACTAATACTCTATGCTATAACTCTGATACCAGGTCACGGTAGTTTCCAAGATATGAGATCCTCTCAATTTAATGAAGTAAGTCATTATAAGTTGTGTACTTCTGTCAGTTGAGTTAATTTACTTCAACAGTTCAGTTAAAAATATGTTCATAGATAGGAGAACAGACTGCACTGTTGAGTACTCCTAATTCCTCTTATGTAAGATTCCCAGAGGAACAGGACCCAGCTTATCTTGGGATTGCTATGGAGAATGCAACAGCAATCTCCAAACTTTTATTTAATTGGGTAAATCCATTAATGAAAAAGGGTGTTCATGGTTTATTAAATAATTCTGACGATCTATTTGATTTACCAGAATATATCAGCACTAATACAATTAGTCAGAAAATTGATAAACATTTGCAGAATGTGGTAAATTAAAATTTTAATTATCTCTGTTATTTTAATGACGGAAGTAAACATTCGTAAAATCATATACCATATTATAGCCCAGGAATGTAAATGACAGAAGGGAAAATAATGGCTTAACGTTGGAAACAGATGTAGAAACGATTAGAAACAAAATGACACTGTTTCGTTTATTACATAAATGTTTTGGTTGGGAATTTTATTCAGTTGGCATTTTAAAATTTATTACCGATTGCACATCATTCATGGGACCAATATTATTGAATAAATTGGTTGGTTTCATCGAAGATAAGGATGAATCTGTTTCATATGGATATCTATATGCATCATTAATATTTATTAGTGCTTTAATAGGTATGCATTAAAATCTGGTGATTAATGTTTTTAGATGAAGCTTAAAAACAAGTTTCATATAAATTACAAAAAGGTTTGAATTTTAGGAGCTTTTTGCAATGCACATTTTACATTTTGGATGTCTATTGTTGGTTTAAAAATTCGATCTGCTGTTATAACGTTATTGTATAAAAAAACTTTGCACTCCTCAATTGTCCAGTTAAAGCAGCAATTTAATTTCGGTGAAATCGTAAATTTCATGAGTACAGATAGCGATAGACTCGTTAATAGTTGTCCAAGCTTCCATGCTCTTTGGAGCATACCATTGCAGGTAATCTCTTAGTATAGTTCTGTCCGCTTTATTTCACTTGATAATAACTATTTTAAAAGCCTACTTGTAGAAACTTAGAATCTGCTAGTATTTTACTTTTTCCTAAAAATATTTTATTCTCTGCTGGGTAAGTAAATATTTTTTATATTCGTACTTTTTCAGTTAGTTGTGACATTGTATCTTCTGCACGAACAAATAGGAATTTCATTCTTAGCTGGGGTGGCATTTGCGATAGTGCTTATACCCATAAATAAAATAATAGCAAATCGAATCGGGAAGCTTAGTACAAAACTAATGGAACGTAAAGATCAAAGGGTCAGACTTATAGGGGAAACACTACATGGAATAACTACAATTAAATTGAATGTTTGGGAAGATCATTTTATGCGGAATATTTGTAGTTAGTATATATTCGTGTACATAAATTTATACTAGAATATTAATGTTCTTTCGTCACTGTTTGCCATTTTTTTTCTTACTCAGAATTACGAGACAGTGAAATTAAGTATTTGAGCGGCAGGAAATATTTAGATGCACTGTGTGTTTACTTTTGGGCCACAACACCTGTATTGATTTCTATATTAACATTTGCTACATATGTACTACTTGGAAATAAACTCGATGCAAAGACAGTATTTACTGGTATGGCACTGCTGAACATGCTAATAGGTCCACTAAATGCATTTCCATGGGTCTTGAATGGTCTTACGGAAGCTTGGGTGTCGCTTAAAAGAATTCAGAGAATGTTAGGTGTAAGTGAAAGCTGCGATAAAAAAAAAGTGAAATTTTCGATTCGAAATACTAATTATGCAAATTTTATTTAACATAGTTACCAGATGTAGATATATCGTCGCATTATGTGCAATCTACATCTGGAGTAGACTTAATGCTTCAGAACGTCATGTTTAATGTAAGTACAAAACAAAAGGAGCGGAATGACATCGACGCTCCTAAAGATGTTGCAACACCATCTACTAGTTCAGAATCTAGAAAAACTGTTACGTTCGAAGACAGTGGTACTTTCACTCTACCCGATATCAATATTACGGTACCAAAGGTAATAAAATCGTGGCCTGTCGCGACAGTGTAGAATATTGTAAGCTGAGCATATCTTGTTCTAGGGCCACTTAATTGGGATTATGGGAAAAGTGGGTAGTGGAAAATCGCTTCTTTTAGACGGTATTTTAGGTGAAATTACCAAACTTCGCGGAACGATAGCGGTAAGCGACATTGAGAAAGGTTTTGCGTACGTGAAACAAAGTCCTTGGATACAACGCGGCACGATTCGAGATAATATTCTTTTCGGAAAATCATACGATTACAACAAATATAAGTAAGTATTGAATTATACGAACAGTGATTTATGAACATTCTAAATGCGAAATTCGTAACAGGCAGATATTAAAGGCATGTGCCCTCACCGTCGATTTAAATTCCTTGCCTAAGAAAGATCTAACAGTTATCGGCGAAGCCGGAAATACTTTGAGCGGGGGTCAAAAGACACGAATTTCTTTAGCACGAGCTGTCTATGCGGACAAAGATATCTACTTGTTAGACGATGTTTTAGCAACACTGGATCCAAAAGTTGCCAACTATGTATTTGAAAATGTTATCTTGGGTTTGTTGAAAAACAAAACGAGACTGCTATGTACACATCAGACTCAGTACTTGGTTCACGCAGATTCGGTAGTAGAAATGTCAAAAGGTAGTATAATCAATCAGAGTAAACCGAGCGATGTTCTACCCAATTTAGAAGACTATTTGTTATCTTCGGAATCATACGAGTCGGATTTGGTTATCATGTCTATCGATGATTTACCAAGAGAAATGCCTCAGATCAATGAAGGCGAAACAGATCGTTTGCTCGGTGAAGAATGTTCTCAAAAAGGGACCGTACGTCTCGGTGTATATACTTGCTATGTGAATGCTATAGGCCGTTATTTAGCAATTTCGATAGTTCTTTCCATGTTATTAATGCAAATTTCTAAGAACGTTACCGACTTGTGGTTATCTTATTGGGTTACTCATACTAACACAACAGCAACCAATAACGCTACGGACAATTCGAAACTTGCACGTTTAGAATATTTTCTAGACAGTGACAATTTAACCACTGGTCATTATTTAGCAGTTTATGCTGTGTTAGCTGTGCTCAATTCGCTTTTTACATTAATGAGAGCGTTTATGTTTGCATATGGTGGAATTCAAGCAGCCATTGTTATACACAAACAGCTTTTAAAGGTTGTTGTACGGGTACGTAATTCCTTTAAAAGATGATTATCGAATGTACTATATTGTAAATTAAATGTAGCATGTATGTTTAGGCTAAAGCTACATTTTTTGATATTCAACCATTCGGTAGAATCATTAACAGATTTTCATCTGATACATACACTATCGATGACACCCTGCCCTTTATTGCAAATATATTATTCGCCCAACTATTTGGCTTATTTGCAACAATCATTGTTACAACTTATGGTATACCATGGATACTCTTAGTATTAGCTCCGCTCGTACCAGTTTACCATTGGATACAAAATCACTATAGGTACATATATATATATATATATTTCCGCAATTTGCATTTAAAGCTGACAAGAATATTTATAACTCGATTGATATTTTTCAGACTAACATCGAGAGAATTGAAGCGCTTATCTAGCGAGGCTCTCTCGCCGTTATACGCGCATTTTAACGAAACCCTTCATGGATTATCTACTATTAGAGCTTTTCGCACTGTATTTCGTTTCAAACAAGAAAACGAACTTTCGCTGGAAGTCAGCCAGAAAACGCAATTTGCGTCGATCGCCGTCAGTCAGTGGCTCGCATTAAGATTACAACTTATCGGGGTCGCACTTTTAGCAGGCGTGAGCAATATAGCAGTCTTACAGCATCAGTATAACATAGCAGATCCTGGCTTAATAGGTCTGGTTATTACATACGCGTTATCGGTAACCGGACTATTATCCGGTGTGGTGAACGCGTTTACCGAGACGGAGCGGGAGATGATAGCGGTCGAACGCGTAAAACAGTATTTAGAGAACGTACCTGTCGAAACTGTAAGAGGAAATAATCCACCGTACGCTTGGCCAAGTCAGGGTGTAGTTGAATTTAAAGAAGTCGTTTTGAAATACAGGTGCGATCAACTAGAGATGAGTTCATTCAATATAGGCGGCTAATTTTTAACGGTAGGTATGTTTTGCAGAGAACATTTGGTACCATCTTTGAACGGTATTACGTTTGCCACGCGACCGGCAGAAAAGATTGGGGTAGTCGGGCGCACAGGTGCTGGAAAAAGTTCGCTTTTCGTTTCGTTGTTTAGATTGACAGAGATCAATTCAGGCAGTATTTCTATCGATAACGTTAACATACGAACTCTACAGTTGAGTGCATTAAGGTAACGTTGTTTTTGCAACAGATTTTTAACACTCGAGCCTATGTGCTCGGGACGTTTCGTTTCCTTAAAGTAATCGTAACGCATCGTTTTAGATCACGGTTAACCATTATACCTCAGAACCCGTATCTCTTCTCGGGTACAGTTAGAGAGAATCTTGATCCGTTGAATCAGTATTCAGATTTGCATGTATATAAAGCGTTAGAGAAATGCCAAATTCATTCGTTAGTGTATCGTCTGGGAGGGCTTGGTGCTACATTAGACGAAAGTGGCAATAATCTGAGCGCGGGTCAGAAACAATTACTTTGTTTAGTAAGAGCAGTTTTGCACAATGCCAAGGTACCGATATTGGTTTTTCTATTTAAAAATTGTCGAGATATCGAATTTTACGGAATATTAAGTTTCAAATGTTCTTCTACAGATAATCTGTATCGACGAAGCCACGGCCAATGTTGATCAAGAGACAGATAAATTTATTCAGACGACGATAAAATCTTCCTTCCAAAGCGCTACGGTTATCACTGTCGCACATAGGATAAGAACAATCATGCACTGTGATAGGTATGATAATTATATTAACGATTCACTACATAAACGCATATTATATATTATATAAATATATCCATCCGTTTTAGAGTTCTAGTGATGGGAGAGGGTGAAGTCCTAGAATTCGACGAACCGAATTTACTGATTCAGAACGTTGATTCTCATTTCTATCATCTAGCGAGTCAAGAATTTTCCGATAAAGAGTAAAAGTTACGCGATTACGTGTCTTCCGATAAGAATATTTATTTTTCTTTTCTAATAGGATTATCGGCTGCATACAGCGTAATGTGTCTTGTACATTATAGATAAGAAGACTGTATTTTAATCAATAGATTATAATTATTTTCGTACGAATTTTCGAGGACTGTATCGTAACCTGTAAGACTACGAATAATGTGAGAATTTGTAATACATGAGTGTTACGTAGTAATGCTTTGTCTTGTAAATTTATTTTATACCTGAGTTCCTCGCCGTACATTGTTATTCTGTCGACAATACATGTGAAAATTCATCAAAATCGATGTATCCTCTTTTGTAACGATCCATTTCCTTGAATACCATTTTCCAAACTGACGTCGACACATTCAAATCAACGAATTTGCTGGCAGAACAAAAGTCTTCCAATGTTAAATATCCTTTACAAGTTTCATCCAACAGAGCGAACAAGGTCTCTTTATTAACGTGCGAATCATTGGCAGGACACTTTCGAGATATCCAACGTTCAAATTCCTTCCGAGAGATTCTATCGATGGTTTGAAACATTTGTTTCATTTCTGCCTAAAAAAAAAAAATACACGCCACCAGAAACAGAATTAAGTCATTAAAAATTCGAATAGTATTTGTCTTTAAATATCGAGGCCTTGACCTTCGCAAACGTTACTTTGTCCGGGCAATAACCGAAAACAGCCGTCGTCGCTATTTTACACTGCTGTTTAGTCAACGATCCTGCTGACTCCGTGTCAACGCGGTCGAAAGCCTGCGGTTTGCAAAAAGAAAATTCTTATGTTTTGCAACTTCTTTCGTCCCCGTGTCGGTTTACCTCTTTGGCGCGGTTCTTGTAGACGCTCGGCGTCATCTCATTCTCCCGAGGACGCATCGTGCTGCAAGGAAACTTCCTTGAGCGACTTCCATATTAAGTGATTCGATGAAAGCAACGCGTAGACTCGTCGCGCAACGCGAGGCATACGGTGCATCGCTCTTTCACGCGAGGATCTCGACCGACGCGTATTATATCGCAATTAAAGCGGGATCCACCTTTCAGGCGGGCCGGTGTTTTGTAATATTCATCGCAGAGCCAATTAACGTCGCCGCGAAACACGTATGTATACGCGTGTCTTTTTCGTGGCTGTGTGTAGGGAATGACATAACGTCTGCTGTATCCGGCATTCAACCGTCGCATTTTCGCAACCTCTGTCATCGTTCCGAGCTGCTGAAAACTAATGAGCTGTAACCCCGGCCGATTTTGCGTCTCGTTTTTTAATTACCCGTCATTTAAGCTCCATTCAGTCCTTTTCTTTTTCCCTATACGCATCAAAGGAGAAGCGATATTATTTTTCACACGGATTCGCTCGACGCGAGATGGCGACGAGCGTTTCGTATCGTTAACGACGTTCGTTTCGCGCGATCGTCTGTCGCGTTTTTTTTTTTTCTCAACGATGACGATTTAACGAAATTAACCTTACCATAGTCGTACGAACGGTTTCGTATCGGAATTTCGTTGATTGGATCGAGCGCTCTGATGGCGGAGGTCCATGTAACGCGTCCAAGGCAAACTAGACGATGGATCGACACCAGATTTGCGATCTTCTCTTATCGATGACGCGACGATCGGAAGGTCTTCGCGTGTACGTATTCGCATACTTTCTCAACGATATCAAGAATCGAGTCTCCTCGGAATCGCGTCTCGTCTCTTGGGTTCCCTTCTCTCGCGAACGCGGCGAATTAAATAATTTCCATAACGTCACGTCTGGTCGCGATTCTCACGGCGACGCGACGCAGCAGATGGTGATCTAGCGTCGGCGTGGCTCTGTTTTTTCCTTTCTTCGTCGCGTTTGTAGAAGCGCTGAGAAGCCGCCTTTGGAACATGTGCGCTTCCAGAGCAAATCACTGGCAATCTCGACCGAAATGTAAGATTTACGGTCATCGGCCGAGAACCCACAAAAAAAGAAAGAAGGATTCAAAATCGAGATTAACGTCAACGGTTCGACTCAGCGATACACGAGGAAATAAGAAACGCTCGCATGGATCGAAGCCGGTGGGATTTTTTCCGGTTTCGACGATCGCTCGGTAAAACTATTTGAAAATATTCTCGAGTGTCATTCCAGGGATGAGGAATTTCTCGAGTGTCGCGCGGTTCGGGTAGGAATATTTTCTTTCAAAAGGGCGGATTAAACGCGCGCCGTGGAATATTTGAAATTTCATCTTGGATGTAGCTCGTCTCGTGACATAGGCGGTACGCGTAGTCCTCCGCTCTTGCGCGTCTCGGTTGGCACTCGAGGCTTGAAGCACAGTCACTGCTATGGGGGGACTTGCCGGCTACCCCAAAAGTGCACCTATCAAGGGCTGGTTCAACGAGCGTGCAACTCTAGAGACCCTTGCTATCGCGGAGACTGCGCTCTCGCTCTTTCGAATCTAGCTCGCATTTATTATTGAACTCGGACGCGATTCTGATGAGCAAACGCGGCCAAGACGAATTAGAGTTGAAAATATCTCCGGTGAAAATGTAACGTACACGCGTGTTAACGTAAAATCGACGATCGCGAAATAGAATGTGTCGCTCGGACGAGCCACGCTTAAACGTTGAATCTTATCGAGTTTACTTAACGTTACCTCGAGTTGCTATCAAACTACACAATATCGTAAAACTCGAGATACGCGATCGCGACAGTTATGCGTACTTCTGTTTTACCCCGAACGCAACAGCGGTCTCTGTGCCGGTGAAGGGTGTCTAGGCTTTCGCTCACCCTTGAAAGTACGCAGAAAATATGCCAATGTTGTTTGAACGAGGGGTTCCCAGGTGGATAAAGGAGCTAGGCGGCAGCGCATGATTTGCCAGAGAACACTATGAAAAAAATGTTAACCAGCGATCGCACGCCCCCGATGAAACCTCGGTCGAGATTGTTAATCGCGGTCTTTAAATATCGAGAGCGAATTCGCTTACAATTAGTAGCGGACGTCGCGAAGACCGCGTTAAAGGAAAGGCGAAACGATTTCTCGAACAGAGAGAAACGCGATCGTTGGACACGGTGAAATGGGTGAATTGTTCGCGAGACGTCGTGCGAGAGGCTGATTACACGGCAACGGGTCATATATTTGCATTAGCCCGCAGAGTCGCCATAATTCATTACGTTCGCAATTCTCTTTCGTCAGCTGGACAGAGCTCGTTCGCCGCATAAATCACAATTTGCCCTACTGCGCGCAGGTGGACACCAACGTTGGCGTTGGCTGGTGTCCTGAACACATGGGATCGCGCACCCGTATAGTAAAAAACCGAAATGATAGAGCGTGGCGGATTTAATTGACTCTGACGTTGTATCATCATACTTGGTTAATTACGGGAGCGTAATAACGATCGCTCGACTTTTCATCGAACACTGCACACCCTCGTCGACGAACATCGTACTCGGCTTGCCGTGAAACATCGATCCCTTTACGGTTGATCGAGGAACCGATGAATACCGACTGTCGTTGGGGACTGCTTCAGCCTTGTTACCAAGTTTCGTCCCTTTCGTTGAACGTAATTTTGACCGATGGCGAGTAATGCGTCAAATGTAAGTACCAAGAACGGCTTGTCGATATCTAATCGTCGTCGGTCCAATTAATAGAGGATATAGTTGCGTTGGCATAACGGCGGCTGCGTTTGCGGAACAATGTCCCCGCGGTATTACTAGAAATAAGAAAAGAGCGGAATAGACGTGTCACCAGACGAGCGTAACGTTTCTCATATTTCCATTAAGTAAGCCAAGACACAGGTGGATAACGGATATAACGCGCGCGAGCTACGGCTTTTACCGTGATTAGTGCACGGTGCAGTGGGAAGGTTCGTATGGTGCAAAGGTGCGTGCGAGAACGTGTTTCTCGCATATCGTCACGTGTATAGTAAAAAACGCGTTTGCGATATTACACGCGTATAGTACTAGGGATTTCGTACTCTGGTTCGTTCGTATTGGGTACCTCCCTCGGGATAGAGAGGGAGAGAGGAGGGGTGGAGACCATCGCGGATCTCTCAAGTGTCTTCTCTTCCTTCCCTTATCGTCTCTTTTTAATTCGTAGTTCGTCATCGGTAACTGGCGTCGATAATAAAAATCGAGCAAACTACGTAAATTTTCAATTCCAACCATTCGAATTTCGCTTGCTAGGAACGTAACGTTAAAGAATATAAGACAGTCGATATTTGATGCTTTGAGACTCGACGACCCTCTCGAGTTGAAGTCGGGTATCGTCGTACTCATCGTTCAGTGTACGTTCTTAATAACGTTCGCATCTCTGAATGGGTCTGGGAGGGATGGCGAATCCGCGCGGTCTGTTTTTCACGCGTAAAACCCTTATCGCCTGTCGCATAAGTACTACTGTACTTTCGAAAAATAAAAGAAAAAGGAAACGCAACATCTGAATTTCCACGAAGGATCGTCGAGACGAGGATTCGGTGAGACCTTCTATACGCGCACAGACGACACGACCTGCGCGCATTATACGGTCTGTCGCGACGAGGAATAGCAGATACGCGAAGGTGGCGGGTCTTCTGCATTTACTTTCCGTTCCGTAAAATCATTACTACGTACCGAGCTAACCGAACCGTACGGGCGCCTGTTGATGGCAACCGTTGACGCGTTAAAGGGGCGAGGAGATAAGTTTTTTTTTTTTTTTCGCGATTTATGAAGGCGCTCATTCATTACGCGCTCCGTAATTGACGAGTTGCACGAAGGAGGATGGAGAGCTGATATCAACAACGCTCTCTTCCCGTCGAGATGCTATCTCGCGTTGGCAATATTATTTCGTCTTTTTTTCCTTTTTTTTTTTTCATTTTTTAAGTATCACCACGACAAGCCGTTAGCGATGAACGGGGCGACGAGTGAAAAATCTGGAGGAAGCGAACGTTGCGATGTCGGCGCGGTTGAATCGAGAAGAGCGCATCGACGCGGCAAACGTCAGGAGGAAGCCGGATTCGATTTCGTTAATTCATTACCATAGAATATCCGGGGAGGTATGCTTTGTTCGTTCGACAATATAATAATTTAGCGCGGCACTATTGAGCGAGGCTCGCGATTGGCTCGACCCGGCCTGCACAATTGGCTTCCACCTGATGCGAAATAGATGCAACTCCGAGTGGATGGAGTCCGTTCCGTACCACACCAAATGCGGCGCAATAGTAATTGGATTTCTCTCTATATAGGATAGCCGCATATACGGTCAGCAATAAAGAAGCGACGAGTATATTACTCGGGTAATAAAAAGAAATGTAACGTGGCCACTCGCGGATCGAACGTAAAGGAATCTTTGAAAAACGAACAGAAACCGTAAGTTCGTGGTTGGGATTCGCTGGATGCAATTGAATTTCGTAACGGGCAATGTAATTAGGTAATGGTCCGCTAAGTTATCAAAATTCAATCTACTATCCGGCTCACCGGGAAAAGCATAAATTTCTTCTTCGTTAAGCGAATCGATTTTAACGACATGACGTTGTTTACCAGAACGTTTACGAGTTTCAGTTTCACCCCATTATCCTCGGTTCCCTACTTTGACAGGTTTCGTTTCGTGCATTGATTACAATCACCACGCTTCAATGTTATCCCTTTACCTAGCGGGACCACTAATTAAAAGCTGGGCAAAAGTCGATCGATCTTGCGCGCAACGATCTTGAAACAGTATATCCGTTTCCTCGATTCCTCGTACTAGCAACGCGTTCGGTGGTCCCCGGCGTCGATAGGGGCTTCTTTCTCTAGCGAACACACTTGTTCGTTTACGGAATACCCTCTCGCGTTTCTCCTCCTTTTAATCTCTCCTGCTCGCCTCTAGTATCCGGTTTCACCTCGTCGTCTTCTCTCCCCTTTCCGGCGAGCTTGGGTGTTAAACGTGAGCTGACAAAAACACGTGTAACTTTCAATTGGCTGAGCAGTTGCTCCAAGATTCTCCACGGGGATCGTTAATTGGGTTAAATAAATTCGGTTGAACACCATCTGTGTACACAGCGGGACGGTATACGTCTTCGCGTGGATCCATACGAGGGTACGGGACACGCGTCCATGGTCGAGCGTGGTAAGACGAACCCTCGAACGCGTCGGTGTTGTTCCAAAGGGTTGAAATTGAACGCGGGACTCTCGTTCGAGAATTCGATAAACGTACTGCCCCGAAAATTTATTTACCGAGGTCGGAGCGCAGCGAGCAGATCGCGGAGTTCCGGGGGAGGTCTGCTAACTTTCTTCGAGAAGGATCGAAAAATAAAAATATACGAAACAAATTTATATTAAGACCATTCTATTATGACGTGTATCGAGTCTACTCTATTCGCCATAGAATAATAAGTGGCTTATAAATATTTAAAGGCGTCGCGGTTAGTTGGCGGCTCGTGCTCGCAACGTCATTTCAATTCCTGTTAATGCAACGAGACTCGCATTAAAACCTCCTCGATATCGGGAACGGCAACAGACCGTTACTGTACCCAGATTGAAAAAGAGGTAACGACCGAAGGGGTGCGAGGAGTGTTCGAGGCGGGCGAGCGACCGTCTGCGTCTGTCTGGCTGCCGGAGTTTCCGCTCGGAACCAAGGACTCCCCACTTTTTAATGGAATAAAGAGTCGGAGAAAGTACCGTTTCCTCTCCCCCAGGGAAACTCGCTTGTAAACGATATTATTACGAGGTCGTGTTAAAATATTGCGACGACCTCGTGGCGGCGGAGGATGTTTCATTTAGTTCGACGATCCAGAAAAGAGGGATGTTTCGGCCCTCCGAACGAGGGCCATCCTCCTCTCTTGCCAGCCACCCGTACGCGGCGCGGGCGTCTGCATTTATAAAAAGCAATACACACAGGAGAGGCGAGGTCGGAAAATGCGCGCCCGTAATATCGCGGAAGAGAGACAGCTCGCGATCGTTTAATATATTTCATATATGGTACTACG